GTCCAAATGCCTCTTAAACACTGACAGGCTTGGGGCATTAAAAAATCTAGCTTTGCTAAAAAAGTAACATGAACTAAAAACTAAGCTGTTGATGATTTTTATTGACTTTGAGACTCTATAGCTTTAAAATTGCTTTGATTGAGTTTCCACAGTATGTTTTCTGTTTTGTTGTTCAGTAGATAATTCATTTGGAATTAGAATTCAACAAGTGTTCTGACAGTGTTGGTAATTTACCTGCAATTCAGATTTATGCTATTTCAGTTGAGCTGAAATACTCTGCAAAATACTTTTCTAAATTCAAACTACAGCCTGTTTTCTTATTCCTTTACTTGGATGTCCCTTTTATGTCAAGGGAAAACTCTTTGCTGTTACAAAAAGCAGGGGTTGAAGTACATGAACAGATTTTTCAAGAAGTACAAAAGCCTAAACTAAGAAATTATGTGCATGCTAAGATGTTAGAAACTCCATGCTTTAAAACTTTGAATTTTTCTTCAAATTTAGACAACCCTTCAGCAATCTTTGTAATCAGTATTGTCTGTGACTAAGAGAAGAGTGGACTGAGTTTGTAATTTTGGGTTAGTGGTGTCTTTTTGGAATAATGTTTTTTAACAGTTACTTAGTAGAACTGTAAATAACCCAGAGGCGACTGACAGCTGAGATTTCATCTCTGGTTAAAAACTGGCAAACCACCCGAGTTTCATTTGAATTTTCACTTTCAAAAGACTGCATCAACTTTCAAGTGAGCTTGTCTAAATTCTAAGTTCTGCATATTTGAGAGAACATATTTCAACAAAGGAAAAAAGTTGACAAAGTATTGATTCAGTTGACATAGTGTTGGGAGAACTGCACAGCATCTGGCCAGCTAAAATATTTAGTCTTTAGCTTCTGGAGTTTTGTTGGACCAACTAGAATTAAAGAGAAAAATGATGAAGAACTAATGCTTTCATTTCTCAAGTAATTTCTTAACAAGATATTTATTTGATCTTTCTGGCTTCCAGAGAATAGTGTGGAAAATCTTCTCATTTCAATTTAATATAGTGCATTATTCTTAAATAAAAATATGCTTGTATGCTGGAATTTTTGGAGACCAGATGTCTTCAATATTGGCTACAGCTGCTGTTAGAGGGATATTTTGTTTGTCAGAGAACAGACAGATATGTTTGGGGTTCTTCCATCAGTGTTGTAAGGCCAATAACTTACAGTCTGAATTCCTTCTTCTGTTTTCTTAAATAACTCTAGATTTCAGTATGGGAATAAGAACAGAATCCATAATCCTGTAGAAAAAGAATGGTTTTTTTTGTTGGTGGTGACCACTGACCTCTATTCTCTCTGTGGTTTTAGGCTCACTACTCTCCTTTCTACCGTAATAGCAATCAAAAAAAGTGTTTTCATACTTCTGGACAAGAAATCAATTTAATTTCTTTTGGTTTTGAAGAAATCTCTGCACAATAAAACACTAAATGGTCAAATGTATTTTGAAAATATTGGGTGTGCTATTGGCTTTTCTGTGTCTACAATGCTTGCAAGTCAGCTTGTCACAGAATTGGATATCTCAGTTGGAAGGGACCTACCAACAATCATTTAGTCCAGCTCCCTGACCACTTCAGGACTTACCAAAAGCCAAAGCATATTATTAAGTGCATTGTCCAGTTGCCTCCTAAATACTTTATGCTCTCTAGGAAACCTGTTCCAGTGTTTTACCAATGTCTCAGTACAGAAGTGCTTTCTAATGTCCAATCTGAACATCCCTAGGCGTAGCTTAGGACCGTTCCCGTGTCCTGTCACTAAACACCAGGGAGAAGAGCTCAACACATCCCTCTCCAATTCCCCACCTCAGGAAGCTGCACAGAGCAATGAGGTCACCCCTCCAACCTCCTTTTCTCCAAACTAGAGCAACCCAAAGTCCCCAGCCACTCCCCCAGGACAGACCTTCCAGCCCTGCCACCAGCTGTGTTGCTCTCCTCTGGATGCATTCAGACAGCTCCACATCCTTGTTAAGCTCTGGGGCCCAGAACTGCACACAGCACCCCAGGTGAGGCTGCACCAACCACTGCCTTTCCTTCATCTTGCCTTCATCCACGAGGAGGGTGATTTTATCATAGAATGATACCAAATTAGTTAAATAGGACTTTCTCTACCAAACTTGAGCTCAATCAAAGTTTAAATAAAGCTAGATTCTTAAATTTAATATTGTGGGCTCATTCTTAAGGACTTAGGAACTCTGAAAAGTCAAATTAGAATATTTATAAACTGCTGATGGCTTAAGGGATGCTTTTCTAAAGTATGGGATGTGTGGTCACTGTTAATGGTGGTACTGTTAGAGTCTGAGAAGTATTTTCCCCTTTGCAAGTGCCTTTCAGTATGAGATCAAATGTGTTGTATTTTTTTGTTTGTTTGCAAATAATAAGTATCTGAGCAGTTGATCTTTGAAGTACTGAAAGTATGCTAAAGACAGGAGTGTTAGGCATTTGAATTGAATTTGTTTAGTTTAAAAGTACAGGCAGCCATATTATAAAACAAGTACCAAAATGCCAAATTACACATTAATCTCCAAAAACATGAAAAGTGCTCTACTAGTGTTAGAGATGTAAATGTTTTAGGTCGTGTAAGTTCACATAAACAAAGAATTATTTTTAAATTTTATTTTGCATAAATAACTAGAAAAATACTTATAGGGTAGTAGACTTAAAAATCTCATTGTATTTGTAATCTTAGGATTTTTTATTACACTTGACTGAATAATATTGTCTCTAATGGAAAAAAAATTGCCATATATTTGTGAAGAGTGCCCAGAGTTGATGCAGCTTTTAGAGCAGCCTCCTTAACCTAGATATGTCTGGTTGAAGCAACTGTGGGAAGTTGACTGCTTGTCTAGTATTTCTCAAAGGAATTAATGCTTTTGAGGTCTCCAGTACCATGAATGCAATACCAGTACAGTTCACTGGAAGCATCAGAACTGAACTGCTTTGTTAGTTATCATTGGCAAATAAGAATGGCCTTCATGCCAGAAACTTCAAAAAATTTTCCCGGTCTTCTAAGTGCTGCTGACTAAGGCATGAATTCCTGTTTCAAATAGCAGCCTGGATTCAGTCAGCAGTGTATGGTGTGCCTAGCACGGTGTTGTGGGCCAGCATCTGTGTTCTGGGTTTGTTGGCACAAAAGCAATAACCGTTTGGTTTTAATGAAAGAGGCAAAATGAAGCTGTCAAAGGAGATGTTTTTAAGAGGTAGTGAACTATGTTTTTGTTTTTACATCTTCAGAACAGAGGGCATTTTAGTTAATTAAGTTTTCTAAACATAATTGGAGCAGTACATCTAAACTACCAAAAAGGAGGAAAATAAATGAAAATGGAAAGAATTTGGAGGAAAAGCAGCCTTATTAATAAGGAAAGTTGACTCTAATTCCTTTTTTGCCCTGTATATTATGTAATATATCAACAGGAAGGGTTTCAAATTGCTTGCTAAGCTTCTGCTTCGCTGCCATTGCAATATGTAAAGAGTGGGAATGTATAGGTAAATGCAAAAGAGATATGTCTGTGGATGTCAGCTGAGTGGCTGGAATATTGATTGAGTTACAAATTCACTTAAAATACTCTGGTCAGTATCTGTATATTGGTTGAAGGAGAGTGATAATGATGATAATGAGCAGAAGATTTGAGGAAATTGCCAATAGGAAGAAGGAAGGATACAAAATATAGGCCCACATACTTTACTGGGTGTCAAGGGAAAAGGGAACATATCAGCAAATCAGTTTTGGTGTTTCCATCTCCCTTTTGGGTGATCTCCCCTTTCAAGAGTATGTGTATGTATCAACATCACAGAATTTTGGTAAAAAATTTTGTTCTTAATTTCTCAGGCACTGACCATAATGTTAAGTTAAAACTTGGGTCTAAAACTGATACGTGTGAGATACTGTCAAGTTCCACTCATCCTTACAAAGTATTCAGAGGGGCTTTTCACAAGATGTAACCTGTGCTTTTGTAAGGGGCCACTGCTGTGTGGATTTTCTTAAAAGAAATGGTTTGTGGCACCTGCTCTGATAAATGGTTCAGAACTGCCTTGTGCTGAGTGCTGGGTGCTCAGGGTGTCCCTGGTCCATGGCTTTGGTGAGGGGCATCCCCCTTCAATTCCTGCTCCATCTCATGTGTGCAGCTCTCCCCTCGCTGTGCTGGGTGGGTCAGGTGGGACCGTGCTGGCTCTGCCTTCCTGGGAGCATTCCAGGTTCTGCCAGGCTGAGCAGCGTTAGCCCCTGGTCGGATCTGTCAGTAGGTGTTTGTTTCCACAAATAACCTGGATCATGGCTTTTCTCCCCAGAAAAGTTGACTGCCTATTGTAGCATCCCATGAACTCCCTCCCCTCCCTCCCAGCCAATTCTCAAGGGCATTGCCTTGGAAAGGCTTAACCATAGAGTTCATTCCTCCTGTGGGGCAGACGAGACTCCCTCATGGACCTCTGCCCATATTTTGCAGCCTGCCCTGGTTTCTCCTTTCCCTGTTTCCTCACTGGTTGGACACCCCTGGTGGTTGCTCCCTCTCCCCTGGAGACCAATCCCCTTTGCCCTGCCCTTAGCTCTGCCCACCATCCCTTCCAATTCTTAAGCTGTCCAGAGCCCATGGTAGCCCTCTTTTTTCTCCTGGGTTCTCTTCGGCTTCCACACAACAAATCTTGCTGGAATTTACACCTGCAAAAAGAACCTTCTTGCCTCTCTTGCTGAGGCAGAGTGTGAGTGTGGTGTGAGTCTGACTGCACTGCCTGAATGTGAATCCAATGGCTCTTCCACAGGAGGTGCTTGTTGGAAACAGGTAATAGGCAGCAGTGTCCACCATCCACCTCTCGCCTTGGGTGCTGGCACCCAGCTCCTCAGGTGGGACCATGCTGGCTCTGCCTTCCTGGGAGCATTCCAGGTGCTGCCAGGCTGAGCAGCGTTAGCCAGCCCCTGGTTGGTTCTGTCAGTAGCTGTTTGTTTCCACAAATAACCCGGATCGTGGCTTTTCTCCCCAGAAAAGCTGATTGCCTACCAGCGGGAGTTCCACGCGTTGAAGGAGCGGCTGCGCATCGCCGAGCACCGCACGCTGCAGCGCTCCTCGGAGCTCAACGCCATCCTGGAGCAGTTCCGCAGGGCCGTGGCGGAGACCAACGGCAGCAAGCATGCCATGAATAACTTCTCAGGTACGCCCTCAGAGGTGTTTTTTACAGCTCTGCAATGCCAATATTTCTTGTTATTGCTGTAGAATAAGAAATTGCTCCCAAACGAGGTGAATGAAACTGTTCAGCAGCGTGAGTAAAGAATGTGTAATAAATTGTATCTGGTGTGGGTTTGTTTGGTTTGGTTGTTTTGGTTTGTTTTTTCCAGTTGTTGTCCTTAATAATTCACCCACCCTTATTCAGTCCCTAAAGTCATAAGAGTTACTCACTCCACACCTAGTTCCCAAAGTTTGAAACTCCTGGTTACTTATCTATTAGGTTGAATATATTTTGATGATTAATTCTCATCACTTTTTAAATAGAGTCAGAGGGGAAAAGTGAGCAAACAGGAGAAATGGATGAACTTGAAGCATTTAAAATAAGCTTAACAGTCAATTGGAAGGTATTAAATCATATAGACTAAAGTATTGCTTATGATTGGTAAAAAGTACATGAAATGGCCTTTTCAATAACTAGTGATTAAACTGGTAAAATCTTCCATAAGTTTTTACCCATTTTGGAGACTGATGGTCAGATTTACAAAACGCTGATTGGCAATATTAGAGAAAAACACTGTAATATTATCCAGACTATTGATGTTGACTTCTAAAATCACACTGTTACTGTTTTGTTGCTCTGATTTTTGTGGATGGAAGATGAATAACAAGTACAAATTTTTTGTCAAGAGGTCTGACGTGGTAGGTTGCACAAATTTCTCTGTATTGATCTAATAAGGAGTTGAAACCTGAAGGGTTTTGTAATTCAAAAGCCTGGGACAAGATTTTTAAATTTGTTGTCTACTTGCTTTTGTGCTATGATTTACTATTTTCAATAGATTTTTTTTTTTTTTTCTTTTGGGAAATGGTTATAATTATAGGCTCCAGTGTTGATGCCACTCATGAATTGCTGTCTGACACTAATGGTCTATCTCAGTAGTTCCCTGGATCGCCAGGAATTGCACAGATAAAGGTTACATTTAGCATGGTCTGTAAATCTTGTCTTCCTATTTCATGTGTGTGGTTTTGCTTTTAAAGTAAAGCGTGGAGGAGGTCAAATAATTTGGATTCTGGATTTAGGATTAAGTTATTACCACATTTGTTTCTAAAATTGACTTAGCTTGCTTTTAGGCAATATACTTATAAGGAGTTATTATCTTCTGATGCAGCTGAAAGTACTAATTCATTTAACATTCTACCATGTCTGGATCCCAGCTGGGATGGACATGCATTTTTTTCATGTAGAGCCATAATGGGAAGTCAGCTGAATTATTGAGCATTTGTGCTCAGAACATAGTATTAGATAGGTTTTTATTAAGCTTAATACACTTATGTATACATAATACTCTTTGCTCTCTTTGAAGCTGAAAGAATTACAGATTGTTTTGTGTAGATCCTTATTCGTTCAGACAAGAGCTGTCATACTAGGACAGAATTTAGTCCAAGTTTTGCAGTTGAAGTTAAAGAAATGTTAGCAGGAAAAGTAAAATGTGCCTGTATTGGAGTCTATCAAAAGAGACAATACCTACTTATGACATCTATTTACAAAGCTTTTTGTGAGGTTTGACATGGTTAGGAATTTAGTTTCACTTAAAAATAAATACTTAAAAAATCCCCAAACATACAGAACCAATACCCACAACAAAACCCACCTATCTTTGTAGAAGCTGTGCTAAGAACTAGAGAGGAATTACACTTATAGCTTTTTCTTGCTTTTCAATTTTATCTCAAGAAATCTTGACTACAGTTTTTTACTTAACTTGATATTATGAAGCCCATAAGTTTTCAAAGATCCATATGCTATCATATTTTTCATTTGAAATGAGTTTTCACACTTGATGTAAGAAAATCAACACACCCAGCAGGGTAATTTTAAAAACTGTTATTTGCAACTTTGAGAGCCACCTGGACATGCTGAAAGGCAGTTGCAGTAGAAGGAGCAAGAATGATTCTAATAGGATTATTTCTAATGGACTAAATTAAGTTTGCTTTTTTTTTTTTTCAGAACACTCAAAATATCGACTGTATGTTTAATGCTACTTTGTATCTCTATGTGCAGTATATTCCAATATGTATTCATAGCTCTCAAAAGTTATTTGCAGTAGTGTTTGCTGAGTGGTGATGACCTCTGTAAGCAAAAGTAAAAATTTATCTTAGGAAATAAGCCTCCCATTTGATTAATTGGGGAAAAAACCCAACAAAATCACTAACCCCCCAACTAAATTTGGCATTCTTTACTTCTGTAAATTCACACTAAATCTTATGTGATCAAATAAATATTAACTGTATCTCTAAAAAGATTATTGGTGCTAAATAGTCTTGGCCATCGTTTATTAAAAAAATTGAAATAAGACTTCCTTTGTAGGCAAGATACAATGACTCAAAAAGTGCACAGTTTATTCTGGCTTTCAATTGGGACCAAGCTTGGAATTTTATACTGTTTACTATTGCTTGAAATTTCATATAATTTTTTTTCTGCATTTTTGATTTCTTGTATGTTTGCAGACGAGACGCTGAAATTGTTAAAAGAGCTAACAAGTAGAAAATCTCTTCAAGTGCCAAATATCTATTACCATTTGCCTCATTTGTTGAAAAATGAAGGAAGCCTTCAACCTTCTGTGCAGGTTGGCCTTGGAAGGACAGGAGGTATGCTGATATGATGCTTATTTCATGTTTTATATCTGGAGGACATTCTAGTTTTAGGAAAAGAATTTTCTGCATTTCTTGGTAGATGAAGGACATCTTGTTTAACTTGTGTGATATTGAAATCCTTTGAATTCACACTGAATCTGAGATGAAAGGAGCTTGGTTTCAGCTTTGCTCTTTTCTGCATAATCTCAGTCACACCCCATGCCATGTTAAGGCACACATTAAGAAGCATTTATTTTGGATGAATTTTTTTGTAGCTAAAGGGAAACAAAGCTCAAGAATTTCAGATTCTGAACTGCTAGTGGGTATATCCCTTTGGCTTTCCAGATTTGCAGGGCAACCATGCATGGTTATAATTATTTTAGCATTGATGTTTCTGTTGTTCTGAAAAGTATATTTCAATGTATAAATTAAAAGTTGAGCGCACTAAGAAAACCAGATATAATTGCATCAATAAAATCTAGACAGTCATTGGAGGGGAAAAAATTCAGTGTTGTAGTTAATCCTGGCTTGTATTTTTTCATTACTTCAGTGAGTTTGATTGCTCCTTCTCTTAACAGAAGGTATGCCTGTATGACAAATGTGTGGGCTCAGGCCACAGGTTTATTTTTCTGACTATAAATACCTTTTATTTCAATGTTGTTGTTCGGGGAGGAAAAATCGAACCATTCATTATTGTTTTAAGTGAAGTCTATATTTTGTCCCCCTGGGAATCTATGGCAGAAATTTGGAATTAAAAAATAGGAATTGGAATCAGATTTATTTAATTAAACAGAGGGAGGAAATTCAGGGTTTTAGGACTTCATGAAATCTGCTTTATCCTTTCACTACATTCCTGCTGCTATCTGCAGTGTTCACAGAAGGTAGCCAGACCTGTGTACAGTGCAGAAGAAAAACTATGGAAAAGTTAAGCAACACAGGGCTCAAATGGTCTGCTGAAAGATGGTGTTAATAACATTGTAGCTGGGGTTGTATTGCTTTGCATTTGTGGTGCTTTTGTCAGAGAAAAGGAATTTTGTTGAGGAACTTCTGTGCAGTTCTGTTGTCCTGGACTTGTTTATTTAGAAGAACCAAAACCAGGTGCAAGGAAAGTAATAGAGGCTTTCAGCAGTATTGTTTTAAAAGATGACTTCTGAGAAGTTAAATACTTGAGTTTTGAAGAATGGTTATACCAGTTTTATTTTTAAACTTCACATGGGGAGTTGAATCACTCTTGGTGCACCTTGTCTGAATTATACTGTGGTTTTTGATTATTTCCCATTGTGTTGGAGTTTGTGTGACCCTGTTTTGGTAACAGGGAGGCTACAGGTACTTCTCTAAGAGGGGCCAGCAGCTTTCCCTGTTTCCAGTGGAACCAATAGCCAGACCAGCACCACTGGAATAACAGTTTGAAGACAAGGGGTTAAAAACTGCTCAAGGGCAATTGCAGCTGGGGAGAGGAGTGAGAGCAAGCAAGGTCAGTGCAGAAGGAGGGGAAGGAGGTGCTGCAGGGCAGAGTTCTCTGCAGCCTGTGGCGAAGAGCATGGAGAGGCAGCTGTGAACCTGCAGCCCAGGGAGCAGATATCCACCTGCAGCCTCTGGAGGACCCCACGTCACAGCAGGTGGATACCCAAAGGAGGCTGTGACTCCATGGGAAGCTTACACAGGAGCAGGCTTCTGGCAGGACCTGTGGACCCATGGATAGAGGAGCCCACACTGGAGCAGGTTTTCTGGCAGGACTTGTAACCCAGTGGAGGACCCACAGTGGAGTAGCCTGTTCCTGGAGCACTGCAGCCCATGGAAGGGGGACCCATGCTGGAGCAGTTTATGAAGAAGTGCAGCTTAGGGAAAGAACTTACATTGGAGATGTTCATGGAGGACCGTCTGCCATAGTAGGGACCCCATGGGATCAGGGAAAGAGTCTGAGGAGTCCTACTGAGGAGAAAAAAAAGTGGTGGATATCATGTGTGATGAACTGAATTCCAGCCTCCATTCTCCATGCCCCTGTGCTCCTGGCAGGGAGGAGGTAGAGAAATCAGGTGTGAAATTGAGCTCCAGAGGAAGGGAAGGGTGAGGGAAAGGTGTTTTAAGATTTGGGTTTATTTCTCATTACCCTGTGTTCATTTAATCAGTAATAGATTGACTTCCTCAAGTCTGCTTTGACTGTCAAAGTAACGAAGGGTCTCTCCCTGCCTTTATTTCTACCCACAAGCCTTTTGTTATGTTTTCTCCTCCCTGTCCAGCTGAGGAGGTGAGGGATAGAGCAGCTTTGGTGGGTACCTGGTATCCAGTCAGGATCAGCCCATCACACCTACAGAATAGTCTGGCATGTCTTGGAGTTTTTTGTCTTCTGTGTTTGTTCTGAGAATTGGTGTTAACTGTTAGTCATGCTCCTGATGCTGGGTGGTATATTTTTAAACTATTTTTAATTACTGCAATCTCCACCTTTTAATCCTTTGCATTTTTTAAGCAATGCCTTATTGCAAGATTTTTGTTTTCTATCTTGTGTATGCAATCACTGAAAGTACCTTTCTGGTTTGTTTGATTTCAGTTTCCATTGTAATGGGAATACCTACAGTGAAAAGAAAAGTCAAGTCTTACCTTACAGAAACTCTCCACTCCCTTATTGATAAGCTGTCCCCTGAAGAAAAACTGGATTGTGTTATGGTTGTCTTTATAGGAGAGGTAAAAGTGCTTAAATTTTTTTTTCTATACAATTTCTAACCTGCCTTTAATCACAAGTAACACTCCTTTCAGGAACTGATCTACTTTTGCTTCAAGATGCAGACAGATGATTCTCTCCTTCCAGGAAAAGGAAAGTGTCAGTCTTGGGTTTCTGACATACACTCCATACAAGGAGCCCAGCCTTTTCTAATTATCAGGGGACTGGTGAACATGGATTCAGTGGAGTGGTTATTTTGCAAATCTTAAGTTCATATTTAGTGGCAAAGATGTGCTATTCCTCCAACATAAGAATAATGGCTAAGGAGCTCTGTAGGGGAGGATTCCTCTCATTTTCTTTGTGCTGCTGCTTAGTCCTCTGTCAAACGAGTGCTGCAGTTGGAGATGTGAGGCACAGATTGTTATTGAGTTAATTTTCTGGACAATGTGGAGCTTGAAACCCAGACCTTTTTAATGGATTAATTCAGTGTTCAGTTGGACTGTTTGTTCACTTTGGCTCTGATTTAGTGGAAATCAAATTTAGGAAAATGATAGAGTACTTTCAGAAATAATTCTGTTGGATGCTGGGAATTGCATGTACCTATTTTGTTCTCTATGCCTTTCTCAGAAGTCTGACTTGGACAGCGGGAAATTTATATTTATGTTTGACCTTCATCCATCTAACTGCAGTGCTCTGCTGAAACAGTCTTTTATGAGTCCCACAGATGAAAATTCAAATCCCCAATTATAACTGAAAATGGTTTTAATTTAGTGAGCTGTTGTCCTTCAGGGATGAATCAGTGGAAAATTAGGCATTTTAATACTTGTATTATCAACATATTTTAAAATTTCATTGGAAAGTTTGTAAACATTTTGCTTTTATCTGAGAATTGTTTCTTAGTATTTTCTAATGCAAATTGCTCTATTTTCTTTTTCTTGACAGCCAGTCAAAAACTATCTGTTTGGATAGATACTGTTTTTCTGGAAAAAAAATGCTTTTGAAACATTTCTTGGTTGAGAGTATCAGGGAACAGAATTCTTTCTGAATTACTGGAATGCTGCGATTTTCTTCACTGTATTAGTTGGAGAAATTTTATTGCCTGTGAGCGTGGCTTCTTTTAGAGGTTTAAAACTGAAGTTACTTTTGTTTTGCTTAAGGAGGTCTGAGCTATGAGGTCTGTCTGTTATCACTGGATTCTCTGTCTTCTGTAAAATTTGGAATAAGAGTGAGGTGTCCCCAACTGCACCATCTTTTGTTGCATAAGACAAGCCATATTGCTGTACCTGGGTTTTCCATAGCTGGAAACTTCCTTCCTTTGAGGTGCTGTGGAATACTCTCACCTTGGGAATGTTTCTACAGAAGTGACCACCAGTGAGCTGAACATTTCAACAGGGGAGCTACTGCTGCTTGCTAGATTTGCATTTCTTTTTCTTTAAATCTGCTGCTTGCTAGATTTGCATTTCTTTTTCTTTACTCCATCCAATTTATTATATTTTATTATTTATTCTTGGACCATGTTTTTATTTTCTTAAGCTCAATATCTTACTGTTTGCTTTGCAATTGCTACAAGGAACTCTACATGATTAATATGGTGCATTAAATACTTCATCCTGAATTATGCTGTGCTTTTTCTGAGTTATTCTGTATATTTCAGTTTCCTTCTGCAAGATGAAAACTGTAGGTTTATTAAGCATTTTCTCTGGCTGTTTGAAGGAAGGCCTACTCCTCTGATAGACTTCTGTTTCTCCTTAAACAAAAAGAAGGGTTGTGCCTTTTAAAATATCCTTGTCTATGGGATACCCTAGTCTGAAATATATTAGACTATTGCTGCCATTAACACGTGCAATAATAAAGGCTTATTTAAAAATACATTAGAATTTTGACCAACTATGCTTATTTTAAAAATGATGTCAAAAGTTTCTAAAAAAAGCTATGGCCTCTGCTCAAACATATGTGCAGTTTAAGTACAGCAAGAAATGGTCATAGGGTGAGGTTATGTAATTTTGCTAATAAGCTTAAAATTACTATCTGTGCCTTGTCTATGGCCTGTAGCAACAACAAAAAAAGGAGCACAAGACTACAAAAGTGGTTTTAGCAGAAAATTATAAGGAAAAAATAGCATTTTAAAAGGATTTTAGTATTTTTCTTGCTAGCTTTATTTGAGAAATCAAATTTACAGTGTTTAGGAAGCATTGCTGGGAGCCACAGTTGTGGACTGTAATCTCTTTGTGCTAAGCACGCTACAAAACTCTTCTAATACTGCTATTTTTTAGTAGTTCAATCTCACTCATTTCTTGTAATTTCATTTTTTGCTAGAAAACAAATTAGAAGGCTAATGGCCTTCTGCAAACAGCATCAACAGTGTAAACAGAGGAGCTAGTAAATATAGATGCATTATGATTGCTAAATAAAGAGCTCTGCATATTCATTTACTGTATGGATATTTCTCAGTAATATAATTGTACACAGTAAATTTCCATACTGGAAGTTCAAGAAACTCTGAAATATCTCAGCTGATGTGACAACTAATCAGCAATTTAAATAATTATTAGAATTGCTTGACAGTAAACTGTTCAATTGTCCTAGTTACTGACATATGTCTGTGTTCTCCAATTTGTTAAAATCACTTTATGGCAGAATAATTTGCAGGTATTCATTAGGATGACTAATAAATAGGTATGATTCATTATTCCTTAATACTGCAAAACCTTTTTATTCCCCCTCACTATGTAGCTAGTTCATATGAGTTGAAAACAAATTATTTAAATCTCATTAACCTGCTTTGTACAAGAACTTGTTTTCAGAATAAGCCATAGACTGTAGGTTTAAGAAATAATGAACTCAGAGTTCAAATTGTTGTCTAGTATTTTTATTTATTAGGGTTTGCAATTAACATGGGAAACATGGTTTTGAAGTACTTTAAATGAACATAGTGGAACAACAGACATATATATACACACACAAGTGAATATGAGAGAAATTAGAATACTTTCCCGGTATCTAAACAAAATGTTGTTTCTTTTTTTTCTTTGGGGAGGTTTAATTTACAATGAGGAAAATGCATCTTAGATTTGTTCTAAATATATCAGAAATTACTGTCAGTCCACTTCATTAATCAGAGACTGCACTTAGCACAGTCTTTTGTACAAACAGTAATCAGTGCATGCTGGAAAGACTATAAGCCCTTGATTTGACCAAAAATATCAGAAGGACAAATCATTTCAGGAAGAATTGGAAGCCATTACAGGTATGCAAAAGCATTTTGCTATTTCTGTGTGCTGCTGATTACATCTGACTAGGTAGTAATTGACCAGCCATTTGTTCTTGGAGCATTAGGCCACAAGTTTTACTTTCTTACATATTCCTTATGTAAATCTTACTCTCTTGTTTCATGTATGTACAGTTCACTTAAGCTGGAAAAATTTGCATATCTTGATTATCTTTTACTGTCATTGTGTTATCTCTTTATGTACAGTGGCTGCTAAATTAAGAGATGTTGATGTTTAGTAGTGATTTCTCTGTGCTCCTTCTGTGGAGAATCTTTTCTTATTTGTTATTTCTTTGGAAAAGTTTCTGTCCTGGTTAGGTCAGTGTGACACAAGCACCCAGTCAGGTACCATCCTGTGCATGGGTATGAACAAAGCCCTGGCAGATTAAGGACTGGGTGCACGTACTGGGTCAAATCTTGCTGAACCTGTTTTGTAGGTATTGACACTGCAGTGCAACATGTCAACCTTCTCATCTAAATAAACAAGCCTGTATTTTCACCTCTTCTTGCTCTGGGCCTGAATTGTACTTCTCTCTGATCAGCAGTTCTCTTGATAGAAAACAAAAGAGTATTTTGACTGTCTTGCTCTCAACCTGGAGGTATTAGCATCATCCCAGCTACAGAAATGTTCATGCTTTCTGCTAATTCTTTGTGAGCTGCCTCTTGGAATTGCCCTGGAGAGTGTATTCCCAGTCCCTGAAAGATTTGACAGTGCATCTTCAATTGGAGAAAGTCTGATAGATCTTAGTGTGTACATAAATATGTGTATGTGTGTAATGTGCATGTATTTTTAAAAAAAATCAAAGGTAATCAAAGCTGTTATGTCAAGATACATTATCTACACCAAATAACATTAAAGGCCTACAGAAATGGGAATTATTGTTTTGGACATCTTGCTCAAAGCTGATCAGGATGAACACACCTTCTTGATACACTGCCATCTCTTGTATCTGAAAAGGCAGCTTGACCTGTCAGTGAGAATTTGAGATATTTATGCTGTTCTTGCAGTCCCTCTCCTTTGTCACCTAGGCTTTGGTACACAGGAGTATGGACTGCTGATACTGGGCACCAACATAGGATTTTATGCTTCTCTTTTCATGTCAGTGACTAGCAAATTTTCTATAACGAATTAAACCAGTGATAAAAAATCTTTTTTAGATCTAAGAAAATATCTATGACAGAATTTGAAAACTTGAATGTACCTGAGACAAACTTGTTGTCTCAGCACAAAGATAAAATCCAGGATTTTGCTCTTTGCCAAGCCCTCGACTTGTATGACTGAAATACTTCTGTGAGATGCTTGCTGAGGTGCACCTGGGTCACAGCTACCTGATGCTTCTGGTAAGGGGACATCACTATTGAGAGCCAGAGTTGTCTGATCTCTCTGGTGACATCTAGGGTATTTGTGAGGTGGGAAGTAACAGTAATAATCTTATTTCAGAAGCATTGCGGCAGTGACTTCATACTTGTGTGGTGGACTGAATTGGCACTGAATTTTTGGACAACACTGTCAAGTTTTGCTATGGTGGTCTGCCTTGACCTAAAAATTCCTTCTGTCCTCCAAATAAAGAGCAGAAATTGTAGAAGGGTGCTTTAGACTACACAGCAACTGCCTATCTTGTGGAAGACAAGCTGTCTAGACCATTTCAACAGTGGCTTCCCCAACGACAACAAAAGCTTTCCCATGCTGCAAGGCAGTATGTGCTGCTTTCTTTCAGACTCCACAAAACTAGTAGTGGCTGTATGACACTAGCA